TCATGAGAGAACTTTACTACAATCTTACAAAGCTATGGTTTGTTGGTTAAGCATTATAAAATCTTTTTATCGACATAAATACTTTAAGGCGGTTTGGATTATTATAGAAAAAGGGCCAGGTCTAAAGCAGTAGTTTGAGAATAGTTATTCGTATAAACAAACTTATCGGTATAATATTTGAATATCTTATAATTAACAATAACGATCTAGCTATTAGTTTTACGGGCATTATTTAAGTAATTTATTCTGATACACATTTGTTAAATGATTAACTAAAATTAAGACACGCTACAACAAAAGCCTAGTTACACCTAAAATCACACGGTACCGGCTGGTTGCAGGTGAGGGAACACTTGTTGAGACCAACGGGTCCCTGGTTTTGCTTGTCTTAGTTCTCACTACTGCAAGGTGTCACAGTGGAGATAACTCTTGGCTACAAATCTCAGGTGTATCAAAAGCTCAAGACGGCACTAGAGTATAAATAACTGAAGTAGGCCAACTAACATCTGAGTACTTGAGAATAGAGAACTGAAGTAGGCCAACTAATATCTGTGTACTGCACTAGAGAATAAAGAACTGAAGTAGGCCAACTAATATCTGAGTACTGCACTAGAGAAAAGAGAACTGAAGTAGGCCAACTAATATCTGAGTACTGCACTAGAGAATAGAGAACTGAAGTAGGCCAACTAATATCTGAGTACTGCACTAGAGAATAGAGAACTGAAGTAGGCCAACTAATATCTGAATACTGCACTAGAGAATAGAGAACTGAAGTAGGCCAACTAATATCTGAGTACTGCACTAGAGAATAGAGAACTGAAGTATGCCAACTAACATCTGAGTACTGCACTAGAGAATAAAGAACTGAAGTAGGCCAACTAACATCTGAGTACTGGAGAATAAAGAACTGAAGTAGGCCAACTAACATCTGAGTACTGCACTAGAGAATAGAAAACTGAAGTAGGCCAACTAACATCTGAGTACTGGAGAATAAAGAACTGAAGTAGGTTAACTAACATCTGAGTACTGGAGAATAGAGAACTGAAGTAGGCCAACTAATATCTGAGTACTGTACTAGAGAATAGAGAACTGAAGAGGCCAACTAATATCTGAGTACTGCACTAGAGAATAGAGAACTGAAGTAGGTTAACTAACTTCTGAGTACTTGAGAATAAAGAACTGAAGTAGGCCAACTAATATCTGAGTACTGTACTAGAGAATAGAGAACTGAAGTATGCCAACTAACATCTGAGTACTGCACTAGAGAATAAAGAACTGAAGTAGGCCAACTAACATCTGAGTACTGCACTAGAGAATAGAGAACTGAAGTAGGCCAACTAACATCTGAGTACTGGAGAATAAAGAACTGAAGTAGGCCAACTAACATCTGAGTACTGGAGAATAAAGAACTGAAGTAGGCCAACTAACATCTGAGTACTGCACTAGAGAATAGAAAACTGAAGTAGGCCAACTAACATCTGCGTACTGGAGAATAAAGAACTGAAGTAGGTTAACTAACATCTGAGTACTGGAGAATAGAGAACTGAAGTAGGCCAACTAATATCTGAGTACTGTACTAGAGAATAGAGAACTGAAGTAGGCCAACTAACCTCTGAGTAATTGAGAATAGAGAACTGAAGTAGGCCAACTAACATCTGAGTACTTCACTAGTGTGCATTAAATCCTGTTTACAAAGTACTGGATCTTGTTTGTTGATGTCTCCGTTACTCTCCGTGTCTCACAGACTTTACATTTGTGCCAAAGATTCCTCACTGAATTAGGCAAGTTGAGGCATCAATTGACACTGCGTTTTTAAGTTATGTAAAATGTGTCACTTCTTCCAGTTCATTTTCATTAATTTTTTTTAGTCGATGTAGCTGTTGTTCGTTTTTTATTTTTTTAATTAATGCAAGGCCTGTTTTGCTGCTTCTTAACATAACCATAAGCGAAATCCATGTCCTTAACTTGTGTTTGTTTTCCTTGGATTCATGTTCGCTTGTTTTCGATCGTTTGTTCCTTATTCCCCCCCCCCCATTACAAGTAAAATATCAATTCTTTTATTATTCATTATGTCACACATATTCCTAGACCATAAGTCTATACGATCTATAAACAAACCCGTTACACGACTTATTGATAACTTGTTCCATAACACATGTAACAACGACATGACCCTAATATGCCAAAGGCCCTCATTATCCAAACACGAGACCCTAAACAAGCCGCCAAGTTATTATCAATGCCGATAAAACTGGGGTGTACATTACCCATGGGCGAGAAGTAAACATCTAGGAGAAATGTGTCTATTTTCCCAGTACTTAGGGCGTCAAATGTTTGCCTGTATGAAATGTGAGTGACATTTTCGGTCAGTAAGTTGTGATTATCTAACTTTTAAAATACAGTCATGTTTACCACTTTTGTTGAAACGATTTGTAATACTCTACTGCTAAGCAGTACCGTAGTGAGAAAAAATAAGGATACGTTTCATTATTGAAAAGGTAGTATGGAAGGATCGGCGTGGTCGAGTAAAGCTCATGGTTGCTAAACCGAAAAGTCTCGAGTTCGAACCCTCTGGCAGACAACTGCTCCAAACAACTGCTGCCTTGTAGTTTGTTCTTGGTTGGATAAAGGCTATGGAAGCAAATCCAAAAAGAAAGGCAGGCTGAAATCGGAGTCAATGGCATTAATGGCGCATAACGAGTTTTTCTACATTCGAATATGCCTTTATTTTTATTTTTCTTCTTTAAATAAAATTGTGTTTATACATTTAAAACATCTACCATATTATTTTCAACAAAAGCCCGTATCAAGTTCTTCATTTATCGCTAAAGATTCTGATGTAAAATCCTGCGAAAATATTTTGTGGACAGAGAGAGAGAGAGAGAGAGAGAGAGAGAGAGAGAGAGAGAGAGAGAGAGAGAGAGAGAGAGAGAGGGAGAAGTCCGCACATGGGCTGTTATATATTAGGATGTTTTGAATCGCTGGCCTACATCTATCTCTTTAAAAAAAAATATTTCAATCAACCGTATTTTGGGCAACGGATTTTTTTAAAAAACAAAATTTGTTTTCGAGAAATAGTTTATCTTTCCTTTGATATGCAGCACCGACTTTTCTCTTCATACCTGATGTCGGGCATCTGTAATTTACCCACCGCTATGATTGTAATACCCTTCACCACGATTATAATTTCCATCAAATGTCTGTAACGCCCGGCCCAGTGTTGTGGGATAACCACAACAAAACTTTAATACCCACGTTTTGATACCTACTCCACTTCTACAACTTTGATGACAAATCCTTATACATTTTACACGCACGTACGCACACGCACACACACACTGACACACACGCATACACACTCAACATATTTATGAAGTCTGATTTGCAGCAAAATGTGTATGATGTGTAGGTGATAGGTGATGAGGAACAGGTTGAAGGTTTAGTCAACATTTAATTAATCAAAACGTTGTAAAAACTAAAAAAAAATGTTTCTTGTGATTAACAAAAAGATCTAAATAAAACTTACAAACCTTTTTCCATTTCCTAGCAGATTTCCGACTTTGTATACTTCAAACTTGTGTTCACAAGACAAGCGTCTTTTATTTTAAAGATCAGTTCTAAAGTAAAGCATCGTTTGAATACGGGAACATTAGACTTTTTTTTTAACTAACTCCAGCTTTGTCAGCACATATGCTCTCAAATTATGAAACACAATAAACATAACGACCAAAAAAAATCTGGCATTTTACCCGCAGCCTGTCAAGTTATTTTAGACGGTATCGTTTCGTGTAAGATAGTAGTTTCTTGCAAGACCCACACCAATAGCTACTGGATGCTCACCAAATTGATATGTTTCAATTTGTCTTCTGTATACAGCTTTCTTTTTTTTTTAAACTAAGGGATTAATTATTTTTCGCGATAAATGCACCGTTTAACACTGTGCCAATTGCATACGTTATCTGCTCTTTGATGTTTTTGGAGTTTTCGTTTCTTTTTATATCCTAAATACAACGGCGTCAACGTAAATATCGGATCTTACTTTATTTTTCAGAAAATAATAATTTGTTTACTTTCCTCGGAATACAATTTTTTAATGTGAATAATTGCAGTCATAGTTTATTACGTTGAAGAATAACGTTTATTGTACTTGAAGAATTTTTTCACCGTCTAATTAGTTAAATTGCCCGATGCGAAAAAAAATTCTATTCTATGGAGTAGGGAGCAAACAATCTTTCCTTAAATTTTTTTTTACAGTGCATCTAACATTTACCGAAATAAACCGCAGTTAGTTCGATACCCGTGTTAAATATTGTTTGCTTATTAAAAGTTTAAGAGTAAAATCATAGCAGTTATAGAAACGACTTATAAAAAAATATTTGTTTTGTAATTTGCTTTATTAGCTTTTACTGGGCCAAATTATTTTATGTATGGCAACACTAGCTAGCGCGTATTAAAACTTCAAGCAAGACACTTGAGAGTTGTGTTGATAAAACATTTATAATAATAAGGTATCACTGGATTTGAAATGGGTCTAAACAAAATAAACAATTTTCTACAGCTGAAATTTGAAATCAAGCTTGTAAGAGTAGCTTGTTTCGAGTATGCGGTAATCATTTGTTTATGCAGATGGATTACTTCTTTTTAGTGAATATCCAATTTTTTGCTGGAAAACGTTTTTTGTTTTACAATGTAATGTTTTGTTTTTTGGTCTAAATCCCCCATACAGACGGCTTGCCACCTGTTACCAGCCATAAGTAAGTGAACACACAAACCTGCCACTCAGCAAGCCTCGACTCAACGGTTCACATCTTTGTAGCTACAAACTTTCTGCAGCTAGAGGTGTGGATACCACATGTTTGTAGCTACAAACTTACCGAAGTGAGAGGTGTGGATACCACAGGTTTGTAGCTACAAACTTTCTGCAGCTGAAGGTGTGGATACCACAGGTTTGTAGCTACAAACTTTCTGCAGCTAGATGTGTGGATACCACAGGTTTGTAGCTACAAACTTTCTGCAGCTGAAGGTGTGGATACCACAGGTTTGTAGCTACAAACTTTCTGCAGCTAGAGGTGTGGATACCACAGGTTTGTAGCTACAAACTTTCCTCTAGCTGAAGGTGTCGATACCACAGGTTTGTAGCTACAAACTTTCTGTAGCTGAAGGTGTCGATACCACAGGTTGGTAGCTACAAACTTTCCTCTAGCTGAAGGTGTCGATACCACAGGTTTGTAGCTACAAACTTTCTGTAGCTGAAGGTGTGGATACCACATGTTTGTAGCTACAAACTTTCCTCTAGCTGAAGGTGTCGATACCACAGGTTTGTAGCTACAAACTTTCTGTAGCTGAAGGTGTCGATACCACAGGTTTGTAGCTACAAACTTACCGAAGGGAGAGGTGTGGATACCACAGGTTTGTAGCTACAAACTTACCGAAGTGAGAGGTGTGGATACCACAGGTTTGTAGCTACAAACTTTCTGCAGCTGAAGGTGTGGATACCACAGGTTTGTAGCTACAAACTTACTGAAGTGAGAAGTGTGGATACCACAGGTTTGTAGCTACAAACTTTCTGCAGCTAGAGGTGTGGATACCACAGGTTTGTAGCTACAAACTTTCTGCAGCTAGAGGTGTGGATACCACAGGTTTGTAGCTACAAACTTTCTGCAGCTAGAGGTGTGGATACCACAGGTTTGTAGCTACAAACTTTCTGTAGCTGAATGTGTGGATACCACAGGTTTGTAGCTACAAACTTTCTGCAGCTAGAGGTGTGGATACCACAGGTTTGTAGCTACAAACTTTCTGCAGCTAGAGGTGTGGATACCACAGGTTTGTAGCTACAAACTTTCTGCAGCTAGAGGTGTGGATACCACAGGTTTGTAGCTACAAACTTTCTGCAGCTGAAGATGTGGATACCACAGGTTTGTAGCTACAAACTTTCTGCAGCTGAAGGTGTGGATACCACAGGTTTGTAGCTACAAACTTAACCAAGCTAGAGGTGTCGATACCACAGGTTTGTAGCTACAAACTTTCTGCAGCTAGAGGTGTGGATACCACAGGTTTGTAGCTTCAAACTCACCGCAGTTGTAGGTGTTGACAGTCGTCTTTGTGATGCTGTCATTTACGGATACAACTTTAAGTATCCAAACCTCGACATCCATAATTAGGAACTTCGGTGCAATCCTTGACATGGTTTCAAAAGTAAAATATAGCTGTCATATTATTCATCTATTCTGAAATTATGTTTTCATCACGTAGTATTATCCCATTGTATTCTTTCCTAACAATGATAATTCTTTTTAAAATGGCAGAAATGAGATTAGAAACACGTGGCGTTATCTTAGTTGGCGCTAAAAATGAGTGCACGAAATTATGTCTTGAATTTCATAAGCAGGAAGTGAAGATAAGGAAGAAACTACATATTTAATAAAGAATCAGATTTGTTATCTGTAATTGGCAGGAATCTCTCAAAGCCTACTCTGCTTATTCGCCAGCTTGACGCCGTGTACCCATGCTAACTGCCAACCTAAGATGAGGTGCGAGTTAATTATCAACCTGCTTGCCTCCAATTAGTAACTCACCACTGCGGTCTGAGCGCCGTAAATCTGACGCCCAGTGCAACGGTTTATTTGCCCTAGTTTCACGCTAGGGCAGGTAGCGCGTTGTTCTCTCCTGCTCATCAAGGCTGTAGTTTGTGCATGCAGTTAACCAGAAATTTTGTGATCTTATAGATAGAATGTCATCAAGTATGTTGATAAGTTTTAGATTTTCATTCGTGTTCGCAATGAGAAGCGCACTAGTCTTCATTTCAATCATGTGACCTTAGCATTTATTGTACTCTGTATTTCGATGTGATCTTAGCATTTATTGTAGGCCTACTCTATATTTCGATGTGATCTTAGCATTTATTTTAAAAGTAAAACAAATCTAAGTCTTGATTGCCCACGTTTCTTTTTGTCATTTTATCAGATTTTAACATTTTACTGGGGTTAAAAAAAAGTATTTTAAAGGAAAAAAAAACAACAATAGCTGTTGTTCATAGAGACGATTTTAAAAAAAAGGCAGTTCAAAGGAGGTTATCTCAGAGCGGAGTGTTATCTAGCGTGAAAAAAGCTCTTGGCATCAGGCACAAAAATACGGCTTTCATTTTGGGTCGGAGATTCGGGATCAAAGCCACAACATGAACCCTATCATTGGTTTGTTTTTTAAATTTACGTCAAGATTCGAGTCATTGAGACACGGAGGCAAAGTTGTTTGGAGTGTGCGGGTCTAACACTGGGAGCAGAGGTAGTAAGGTGCACGGAGCGTATATGGCAGGAGAATGACGGAGTGGGGAGGAATGGAGACGTGATAATATGGGAGAGGAGAAATGTGGTTTAACGGGAGGAGGGCAACATGTTAAAGTTAAAGGGAAACAAATCAAACAGAAAGGAAACGATGATGAGACATCGGGTTCAATTTGTTTTCCCATTTTAAATCTAAGACAGACCATAGTACAAAGAAAAGAAACATACGTTCATTATCTCTCTCTCTCCTCTCTCTCTCTGGAAATTGCTTTAAGTACAAGCTTAGTTTAAAGGTGGAGCTTCATGTAACCGATAAATTATAAGGGTAGAGCGTGTAAAGAAAGGTAATCATTTATAGTACATTCTTTATGTTGAAAACGGCATTTTATTTTAACGAACATTATAAGATAGCGTTACTCCCTAGTGTAAATAAAATCCCGTAATGTAAATCCTGCGAAGTAGAGGGTTGTGTGTGTGTGTGGGGGGGGGGGGGGGGGTCTCAGAAAATTCCATTCAGAGCGCCTTCAGGCCGAATTGTCGTAAGGATTCTAAACAAAACCTATCTGCCAGAACCATTCGGCTTTCTCCCAGGCATTTCCCTGCAAAATTTATAGGAAAACTTGCCAAATTATCTTCGCTCATTTTTTGTTTCTTCTAATGTTCATGTTTACTTCAGTGTGTGTTTATTAATATTTTGTATTTTTAGGGGTTATTTTAAACGTTGATTTTTTAAAGTTAGAACAGTAGATCTAGTAGAAAACAAAAGGGAAAATGCTAAACTTGTTCTGCTAATATTAAAAAAGACTAGTATAAATTATATAAATGCTAAACTTGTTCTGCTAATATTAAAAAAGACTAGTATAAATTATATAAATATAGAATTGGTAGAGAAACTAGTATAAACTTTATAAATATAAAAATGCGTGAATTAGTTTTATTGACATGTACTTGTTAACTACAATTTTCCTATGGTGGACATACATACTTGATACAACTACTGATACTAACGATACTAACTGATATAGCAGCAGTAATGTACTGGCACTGAAAGTCGTCTATTGATACTGCGCCTACCGTGTAATGATACTGCATCAATAGTCGACTGGTACTGGACCAATATTGTACTGATACTGAACCTATAGTATACTAATGCTGCACATATAAAGTAAGGATACTCCAACCATGTTGTAGACGTACTGATGTTGCACAGATAATATACTAACACAGTATCAGTAGAGTATTCTATCAATAGAGTACTGATACTGACCTGTAGTTAACTGCATTGATAGTGTACTCTCGCTGCATAAGTAGTGTGAAAATAAAATAAAAATAATGCAACATTTTTTTCACACATCTACACTTTATGTTTCTAATACTAATACCTTAAAAAGCCACAACCTTGTATGGTCTCATACGGATTCAGCTGAATGGAAATGTTTGTTTCGCCCCACAGGGCAGTTAATTTCCTTTAAAACCTTTTGTGAGGGTGGGGATTTTTAAGAGGTGTAACGAATCCAATAACACAAGTCCAAGTATGAAATGTTCTTTATTAACAAAGATATATATTCAAGTTTCTTCCTAACTAGCCTATTCTATGCTCTCTACTGTTTACTACTACAACTACTAACTGTTCACTATACTACTAACTACGCACTCCCATGACCAATTCTAACACTAACTGTTCTCTACATAACTACGTCTGCTCCATTCTGCCTCTTCGCTAGCTACCTATCAACTGCCGGCCTAACAGTGGCCCACGCTTCACTGGTCAGCTGACCGTCCCACGTGACCGGTCAGTTCCCTATATTTTCATTGGTCTACCTCTGACCAAATCGCTATAGCCTGTTTCTGCTATCTACCTGACCTCTCCGACGCAACCTTGCGTCATCACACCTTTCCTTTATATCATGTTTGATATCGTTAATATCAACCATATGGTGGTGCCATTGATGACGATGGATTTTACTTTTATGTTGAACTTTCAAAACAACTCTCACATTTATCAGTTTTTGCTACAACAGTGAGCAGCTACTTTAGAAAAATATTTTAATTTCTATATGCAAGTAGAATCGAGATTTAAATCATGTCTGTATGATACAACAAAGGTGTATAAAATATAAATATAGCTTAAATGTATAAAAAAACAACAACTAATAACGCAATATAAAACGGCTTCGAGTCCAAAACTGTTAATTAGTTAATTGTTATATCATTCGTCATAGGTGTAACGTTTGTTGTGTTATATCGTACTAGTATCAGGCTAGCTAGTCTTTATATTACTTGAAGTAAAACGTCGACAGATTCAGCGCAAAAACATGTTAACTGAGGGTGGGAGCTTACAAAACGCTATTCACAGCCGATAGCTGCTTTTTGCTAGTCTGCACGTCATTTTGCTCAAACAAATCCAAGTTCCTAAGTCCATAAACACGCATTTTTTTTTCTCTAACTACCTACTCTGGGTTGGTTAAAAAAAAAACAAATCTCCAATGTGGCGTGGTTTGAACTCAATTCTACACAGAAACTGGCAAACGATTCTCCTGCTCATGACAAGGTGACGTCAGTGGGTGCACTGAAGTTGATTTATGTCCCCTCGAACAATTTTAACAGCAGACTACAAGACGTTCATGCTGCATACTTGAGACGTTCGTTTGCGCATGTGCATATGTCAGACCCCGAAGCATCAACTCGTTAAAGCCCACGTCTGCTTATGTGTTGGGGTGTGAAAACTTTCCAGCCAAGTGTTGGCCAACTCAACCAAAACACCTTCAATAACAGCTGCATCATTAAATCAAGAATCAACACACATATTTATGTACAGACTTTAACTATTTAACCCCCCACCCCCCCCATCCCCACCCCCCAGAATTCGAGCAAAAAATGTTTTGTTAAGCCAATTATTATTAATACAAAATATAAATTAATTCAACAAGGATCTCACAGATGTGGGTAATTGATGGGATTTTTATTGCGGAAGTTCTTTAATGGTATTAATTACTTTCTCGTATATACGAAGTATAGAGAAAGTATTGTAATCGTGCACAAAAATCACTTGAAATTTTACAATTTTCACCGTATTACACCTCAGTCTTTCATCTCATCCGAAGTATAGAGGACTTATTTTAATCGGGCAAAAATTATCAATCCAGATTTATAAAAATTAAGAGGTTTTATGCGTAATCCAGTCTGAAAAACTGGGCTTTGCAATTCTGTCCGTATGTCTGTGTGTCTGTGTGTGTGTGTGTCTGTCCGTGTGTAAACACGATAACTTGAGTACCGTTACAGCTAGGTTGATGAAATTTCATATATAAGTATTTTATCAAAATCGTAGATCCGTATCAACTTTTGAGCGATTTCCGATAACCGGAAGTGGTACTTTTTCTACTTTGAATTTTTCAAAAGCCTATAACTTGAGTACTATTTCAGATAGATAAATGAAATTTCACATGTAAGTAAAAGATCTAATTTTCTACCTCCTGTTAAATTTTGAGTAATTTCCGTTGACCGGAAGTAGTAATTTCGGCTACTTCCGATTTCTCCAAAAACTAATGTAAATTTTTAAAGTACTAATAATATTGCGCACTATTATGCACTTTTTTATTTGGCGTTCACTTGGTGTGCAATTAATCTGTCTACGAGATTTTATTCTATTTTTAAAACTTTAAGTATTTAAAATGGATTAAAAATCATGTCTATAGCCGAGTTCCCATCCCCTGTTGTTTTATATAAGAATATTCGAGAAAGCTTAGGGGAGATCACTCCCGGTTTACTTTTACAGTAGGTTCGTAGTATTAAGTATAAATATATATATATATATATATATATATATCTATATATGTATATATATAAATATGTATATATATATATACATATATATATATATATATATATATATATATA